TAATTTCCCTTTTTGAAAACTATAAATTACTAATGTATTGCATCAAGGATTCCTATGAACTCTTTCCAGTTTGTTCTGTCTGTGTAGCCTAATCTAAACCTGTAGTTTGAGTACAGTACTGTGTGCGTGGTGCAGCACCTGCATGCCCCCATCGTGCTTTTGGAGTTGTTTTCGACTGCCAGACTTAAGACAGGAAATCATCCATCAAATACAGTATCCCTGTGAAGTGTAAACATAACCACAGCCACCACTTTGTCAAGAATTTTTTAAAGCTCAGCTGGAATACAAATCACAGTCACTCACAGGACACACACTAGCAAGTAATGGAAGCTGTATGGAGCACTCAGGCTGTCGTGAAACTGTGTTGTTCATACGTGTCTTTGTGTGTGTGAAAGAATAGATTAAAGTTAAGACCATAAGAGGGAAGGTTTATATCAGCAATTATGACTTTAGTTGATTACAAAGCAGAGTATTAACATTCACTTCAGCATTTTGTGGTAAATAGGATTTAATGGGTATAACAGACTCCTTCAAAGAGAATCAGTCATACAGGAAAACAGGCCAGTGAGGACCATGAACATGCTTCACTACCTTTTTATATTTGCAAATTTGTTTCATGCTGCCACCTTGTGGCTGTAATTGGTACTGCTCAGTCAGAGTTCAAATTGCCTTTTTTTTTTAAATCTAATTTCCCAGTTTATGAATGGAAAGATACTGAAACTGTAACATATAAAATATACTTGGTATAATCTTTAAATATAATGCTTAAAAGTTGTACTTATTGTTTCAGATCACAGTGATCTTCAAGTCATACCAGGGCTGTGTAGATCAGAAGGTGTACCAGGCCACCACTGAGGATCTGCCGTTGGCTTTCCAGGATGGGACTCAGAGTGGCGGTGACAGTGGCAGCTTGACCATCGTAGAGTGGGGCGGCTCTGGAGTGGGCCAGCGGGTAAAGCTACAGGCCCGTTACATTGGCACTACCATCATTATCCGGCATGTGGGCAGCTACCTGACCTTTGCTATACAGATGCCAGAGGACACCCTGGACTTTTCAGAGGACAGTGGCGGG